AAACCCTCCTATCCTCATACAGGTGTCGTCTCCTGTGTAGGATCAAAGTCCAGCCACCAGACACTTCTGGCAACATTCCAGGACTCCCGAGCCCCCCAAGGGTGCTCTCAGTCACTCGGCACCTCAGTCCTGAGGTGCTGAGATCCCACAGTGAGGTTCTATCAATTTTGAGTTTTAAACAATAGTGGTCATAATGATGTTGGGCACAATAGCTTGTGTATTAAACTCACTTTTTCTGATATGCATTTTAGTTTTTATCAACCACTAGTAAGAGAGATCCATAATTCTTACGTTAATGGAATTTGTTGCTTTTGCAAGTTATGACACATCAGGAATATACTCTGAAAATAAAAATCATGTCTTCATTTTTCAATGTTAAATGTACAAGCAGAGTTTTCTAGATGCGTAGTTTTAAAAGGTCGCGTGCATCATTTTAAAGTAAAGCTGCATAAAATAAAGTTGCAACTGTAGTGCAAAGTAAGCAGTTTCCTTGCTCATCACAAGTACTGGGCTAGCTGGCCTGAGTGAGAAGCCCATTCTCTAGTTAACATATGTTAATTTCTCGTTTCATGCCTACCATCTATGATTCTCCACAGGAAAAGAAAATTAGTGTGAGTGTAACCTAATCACCAGAGTATTTTTATCAATTTAAAATACAGACTGGAAATTTAATACCTCTCTATCTCTCTTAGATTATGTTAGGGTTTGCTGTAATAAGGTGCTGTGATACATGTATTAATTTTGGTTACTTTAAACGCTGAGTTCACATATGTTACAATGTAATGACTCCATGGTGATGCAGCATATTATACTGACAAATGTACTGTGTACTGTCAGGCAATAGAAAAACAGCTGAAGATTTGTGGCTATAAGAGCAACGTGGATGTCGTGGCACTGTATCTGGCTAGACAGTAAGTAAAATGTTTCTTGTTTTGACTTTTACTAAAAGTAGAGCACACAGTAAATGGAAATCTCTCACGGTGCTTTCTATACCAGGAACTCTGAACATCATTTATATGTGAAATACCAGTAAATCATATTCTTACATAGTCCGTGCATGTTGTGAATGAAGGAATGGCAAAAGTGCACAGACACACAGCAGCACTGTGCTCACAGCTAACAGCCTCATCCCTAGATACACAATCTGTCTCCAGCAGCCCAGAGTTGCTTGAGGGTCTGTGAGTTCCCAGAGTTGTACCTGAGTTTCTGCCATGGGGAGCAGAGGAGGGAGAGCTGATGGGCTGATCTCTGCCTGTTCCAACAGGCACATAAGGCTGGGTGGAAGGAGTTTCAAGAAGGCAAATGAAAGAACACAGGACCTGCCCAGTCTAGGAACTGCCAAATTTCTGACCTCCCTGAAGAAATGTGTTACTGCAATGGCAAAACCCAGTGGTACCACCCTTGAAATTACCTGCATCTGTACTGCTGAGAACTGAAGGGAGGGCAGGGCAAGATAAAGTGAATCCAAGCACAAGAACACTTCTTTTGGGCAGGCAGTGCTGATGAGAGAGCTGATCTCCTCTGAGAGCTTAATGAAGCAGCTTGAGATGTAGGGCAGATGAGGAGAAGACGTGCTGAGTGAAGGAAGGCAAACTTTCATGAACCTGTGGGTGATCTGGGTGGATAGAGGTGTGTGCTGTAGCATGAACATGCTGAGAGGCTGCCATAGGGATGGATACATGACAGGACATACTTCAAAGTTTTGGGAAAGCGTGCTTGGAATTTCTGGCCAGGGCACAATTCCAAGTGTTGCATACCTGTCTGCAGCCTCACAACTGCATCCACTGCTCACATGGTTGATGGCATATAGAAAAACTAACCTAGTTTCATAATTCAGGGACAGGGTTTTTAAGGTCTCTTGGTCCAATGAGTGAAAAAAAAAGTCCTAAGGGATTAAGGGATTTCAGTGTTGTCTAGTCTGTTTTTAGTGGAAATTATATGGTCTTGAAAATCTAAATGTGCTCACTAATATGTTTAAATTCCTTATCACATCTCTTGATTTACATCAAGAAAGTATTTGATGCTTTGTGAGGAAAAACATATAGTTACTGTCAAATTTCTTAAAATGTGCATTTTAGAAAGAAGAAAAAAGACAAAATTTAAGGGAGAAGTTTCAATAATGAGAAAATTACAAGGGGCATATATACATACTTTCTAAACAATACAATTAATATACCACAGATGTAAAGAATTAAGCCTGTGTATACAATCTTAATTGCCATATTTTCTGTTTTTAAATGCTTAAATGTGTGCCCTCACTAGCTTTCAAGTATTTTTTTGGTATAGAGTAAAAAGAAATGCTCACATGGCAGATAAGTAAGTGATCTGTCTTCCCATTAAACCATTTTGGTAAAGATGATGCAAGATGGATTCTTTCATGATTGGATAGAAATGAACTCCTTTTATTCTATATCAGTTTATATAAACTTGAACCCCAGCCAAGCTCAATATCAGATCATGCCTCCTTTAGTGTTGGTTTGGCATATTTTTCTGATAGCTGAAGTAAGAAAATGGAAAAAAAAAATAAAGTTAATCAAATAAGAGGGAATGAGTTTATATTTTTAAACCACTACCATTAAAGGAACATGAAACAATGTATTTTGGACACTGAAAGCTGTCATCCCAGGAAAACTGATTAACTTAGCAGTAGGTAGAAAAAGAGTGCTGCAGGCCAAAAAGGATCAGTTTATAAAAGACATACTAAGTCTGGAAGGCATGTAGAAAAGGACAGGCTCTTTTAAAATGTTAGAGGAATTAAGCTCTACCTGGGGCAAATTAAATGCCTTAATATGAAAAAAAAAAAAAAAAGCAGCGAACCAAAACCAAAAAACCAACAGACTGAGGCTTGGAGATAGTGAAGACGAGGCTGTTACTAGACAGGGAGTAAAGCCAATTAAATGTAAATCTATAATCTAGCTATAGAGTGGCAGTGACCAAGAATATAAGAAATTTTGGCTTTTTAACCTGAAATGTACTTCAGGGATGCACACGAGAATTAGATAAGAGCTCTGTAGGAGCTCTGCATGTCCTGTCATCAGCCATCTGCTTGTCCCTGCCACTTGCAGCAATGTCTTTTTCTGTTACTTGTGACAGCAGACACATTAAGCATGTATTTGCAGGGTTAGTTTCTATGGCTTATCTGAGGAAGCCAAAGAAACAGTTTAAAGTAGCAACATGAGAGGATAATCTGAGTTTCAGTAATACAAGGGACTAAAAGTATAGTGCCTCAACTTTGTAGGGTTTGCTCTTGACAGACTTTGCATTTGCAAGATGAGAAAAGGCATCCACCCTCCCTTTGTCTGTACCTGGAGGGTGTGTTGGAAAAAAAACAACCCAACAAGTAAAAAGACAGCATGGAAAGATAGAGACCAGACTATACAGTTGGAAAACAAACATGCCTTTAGCCTGATGATATGAGGTGAATTTTTATCAGTCTTATTACCTTCTGAAACACTGGCCTTCATCTTGCAACACATTAAAATCCACAAGAAAATTTTTATTGTGGTGATTAAAAATTGTCAGGTAAAAGTAATCTATAATTTTTCTAGTGGAAATTAAGAACATTTATTTATAGCAATGAAAATAAAGAAGAGCAGTTAGTTAAAATCACTTGGCAGCTCACTAATATTTTCTGGTCAGTAGGCAATTTTTTATTTATAGCCCACTAGCAAGCTCAAAGTGCTAGATACACAATGGAACATAAAACCATACTAGCACAGGGGAGATCATTTCAGCCTCCGTGGATGTACTAAGTTTCCATGAGAATAGGATAGGAATGGAAAAAAGGCAAAATTTCACAATATACACTAATATGAAGAATAATAAAAAATGCACATTGACATGCTTGATGTCTGCCTTCTGTTGGCTCCTCTGGCACTGTGGCTGGAGAATCCCCACTGCACCTTCAAAGCAGTTTTGCTTTTAGCTTCATGTCCCCAGGGTGCCAAACCTCTCCTCCTGTGTTCTGAGCAGGATTTCTACAAAGTGCAAAGTACATGTGACTCAGACTCATAACTCATGCTGTTATGGAAAAGCAATTAATGTATCACTTATTTTGTTCCTGTTTCTTTGCCACCTGCTGCCTTGTTATGTGTGCAGGTGTGCAGAGTGCTTACACTGTCTCTGCCACCTTCTCTTTGTGTCTTTCTGTACTATACATTCTTAGGAAGTGTGCCTTTCTGGTTCTTGTCTAATATTATTTATGGAAAATAAAATATTTATCAAATTAGTAAGCATTATTAATGTTAAGAAATTTATTACTCTTTTTTTTTCTCCCATTAGAGGACTGAGAAGTATCCCAAGTCTATCCCAGTTTCGCAGATTAAGGTATTTGTGGATTAACAACAATAAGGTAATTAGATATTCCTTTAAAGAGCAGAACAATGCATCTATACTCCCTGATTATTATTTTGTGGTCTTTTCTGTTATAAAGTATTATATCTATTGTCAAACAAATAGATTCTTTTCAATTTCCAGGCTAATTTAACTGTCAAATATAACAGATTTGAAGAAAACCCTTTTTTTTAATTTGACATTGCAAAGCTAATATATTTTCCTTTAGATTCACATTAGGTTTATAAATTCTATTTAAGGAGCTGAGGTTTTGTGCTAATTCCTGAGCTCCCAGTGTAATTGGAGCAGGCAGTTCTTGGAACAGGCTGAGGAGTGATGCAGCTGTGGGACAGGAGTGGAGTGCAGGAAATGCAAGGCTCTTCTTTTATGTTCTGGCAGACATGCATAGTTTATTTCCTGGCAGGCTGGTGGTTGAGGTGAGGCCCCTTTTTGATGTCATGCACATGAGAGTGACATAAAACTCTGTGAAATGAGCTTCTCCCTGTGCACAGGAAGCAGCCCTGCAGTTCTAGGGATGACAGGGTATGAATATTTTACTGTACTGTAATTCACATGACTTCTACAGTGTGCCCAAATTCTTCCATCTCCAGAATTGCTTGCTCAGGTAAATAAGTAGATTTGCAAGCAGCAGAAAGAATAAATTTGCATTCCCTGTCACTTCAGAGTACATGTATATCTGATGCCCCAGGCTAACATCAGTTATATGGCATCTTATGTCCAATTCATCAGAAGATCTCTACTAACTATTTATGAAAAGAGAAAATGCATAGGTATATTAAAATTTTAAACTAAAATCACAGGTATAATAGGGCTTTTCCTTGTATAGTGGAAGGACATTAAAGAAAAGAAGAAATGGCATGATGACTAAGCTGAACTGATCTTGCTGATCAAAAAAATAAATAAATTGGAGTTTTCCACAACTCTCACTTTTCTTACCTCAGCAGTAACAAAGAACATTCTTTTGTTGTTCTATATAACTTATGTGGAGAAGTCACTCAGTGGCTTTTCATAGGAGAAGCCTTACTGAAATGCCTCAATAGGAGCAGCATATGTTTCTGTACTTAATGATTTTATCAGGAAAAAAGCAAACTTCCAATGATTCTGAAAACAAAACTTGCCAACAATAGGGAAAACCATTGTACAAGGGAGTGGAAAAACTTCTGTCTTGTGCTCTTCCTTCCAGCTTTTAGGTGCTTTTAATACACAGAGCAAAGCACATTGATTTCAGAGTCAGTGGCAAAATTCAAGGACTGAAATAATTCCGTTCCTGACAAACTACTTTTCGTCACAGAATTCAGAGTCAGGAATAAAATTCTGTTTGTTGTTCTTGCATTTAAACTGTAAGATAAAAAGTTCAGCACCATTAGTATTCCCATTTCTCAGTGATTATAGAGGTCAGCTTGCTGTCCCACTGCAGATACTTTACCTTGCACTGGAGTCAAAAGTGTATTGGAATTGAGCTTCTCCAAACAAGGTGTGATTCTATAGGAACTGAAGATAACTCTTTATTTGGAATACACCCATATTCATACTGATTTTTTGTTCTGTAACTAATTGATTCTCTGAGTATGATTAGATGACATTTCTGATGAATAAGAACCTTAAGAACCATTTTGTGCTCTTTGAGCTTGCTGGTAAAAAAGCAATTTAAAAACAAGATGCTGGGTTTATTCAAGTGACATATTTCAGGAATATTCTTAAACCAAAATAGAATAATTATGCTTTACAAGGGTCTTTTAACAATAAAAATTATTTTGAATATGAATAGAAGGAGAGAAAATGTGCAGACCAGTCATTTGAAGAAATCTCTTTCCAAATACAAATGTTAAATGTGTAGTTCAAAAAATTAGGTAAGGCTCTACTGCTTATATTTGATTTGTAATTAGTACTTCTAATGAAGGTTCAGTTGTCAAGAGAATCCTTAAACCAAGAGTCTTAAACAGAAATATAAGGAACTACCTGTGGTTAAACGGTTTTCCAGAAGCCATGTTTATAATTCTCCAGCACCACATTCAGAGTGACATATAACAGCTTGCCTAACTCTAATTTCAGATCCAAGATTTAACCTTCTTGATCAAAAACTATTACTTGACTGAACTCTATCTCAACAATAATGAGCTGACAGATATATCAGGTACCAATCCTCCCTTTTTTAAGTTGTTGAGCAGAGGCCTATACTTTCTTTTTTCTGTATTGGCATTCAAATTTATAAAACTGGATTACAGCAAGTAACTTACTGGTTGAAAGATCCTATGTATGTATAATTAATACATGTTAATTATTAGATATTTAAGTTTTCCAACATACTTGAGTGACAATAAGGTGATCTGTTTATTCTGGTTTAAGGGATGAAATGTCATTCACTTTATGTCAGGCAATTGTGAAATATTTTTTATCTTACATGATCATATTTAATATTGAGAATTTATAACCAGAAGTATTTTGCAAAGTTACTGCCAAACTTGATTTATTTTCAAAATGCATCTGTCTTATACTTCTATTTTAGTTTTGCTTGTCCTTATAGATTAAATGGCTTTACCAGACTTCTAAATTTGTGAATGAACAGGCCAAAGCATAATACATTT